TACCAATGTCTTTGCATAATTAAAACACTTGAAACTTCAAAAGCTTTTACTAATTTCTAAGGCCAACCATTTGGAGTTTAAACTAGTTAAAGCAAAAACATAGGAAGTCTTTTGAGAGTTGTGAAAACTGACAGTACTGTGTCTTCACATGCTCATGCAAACATTCCTACACATCCATAATGTGTCTGAATACTTAGTGTTTGATTTCATTAAGGTTGCAGCTTTTTTGTTTGAAGATTTCAGTCTTTGATCTTCTCATATCTTCACTAATGTATCTCCAATCTGAGTTCTTGAGTGAAGTCCAAGCCTCCATCTGAAGCTTAAATCAGGCAGAGAAACAAAGACCTGAAAGGGGATTTGGTCCCTCGACTCCCCAGACTCTTTGTTCAAAGTGGGCCTGTTGTGTGATCGTCGGTTCAGAAAGAGGACTTTTGAGCTTGGCCGTAAGGCGATGCTGAGCCTTTCCTGGCCAGGGTGTTCCCTGGGCGTCTCTGGTTTACCTGCGGGACCAGAAGGGGTGGGGTTGGTTCGGAGGGCTTGTCCTCTCCTACCTGGGGAGTAGGGGAGAAGAGGAACGCAGCTGGTCAGTGGAAAAAGATGAGACAGAGAAAGGAGAGATTGATGTAAGGCGAGAACGCTGAGAAAGCACAAATAAACAAAGGTGGCGATGAGGGTCTGAGATGAATTAATCGTATCAAGCTCATTCACTTTTTGGTTTGAGTCTCCAGAGACGACACCACAGAGAACAGCAGATATCTGAAACAATGTTCACTTCCACCAGCAGGGAAGGGCTGGGGCTTCCAACACAACACAGTCCATTCACAGAAGTAAGTACATTCATTTATATAGCTCTCATCACAGATATGGAATCACAAAGTGCTGAAGATCAAAAACAAAATAAAACAAAGTCATGAAATCATAATGATCTCAAAACAGAAATAGATTAACATCAGAAAAAATAAAGTCATCAAATTATAACAATTCATAAACAGATGAGAGATTACAAATCTGAGTTAAAAATGAGAAAATAAAAGGTTTAGATAAAAGCAGCGTTAAATAAAAGGGTCTTTCGCTGTTGTGTCCAGACTGTCAATGCTGCGTCAGGATGGATGAAGATCATGTCAAAGTTGGGGTGCAACAGTCTGGTTGGAGAGATCACCTCGACTTTTATATCTGGTCTTTGGAACTTCTAGAAGGTTCTGCTGGTTGGACCTGAGGGATCGGGCTGGAGCATTAGGCTTTAACAGTTCAGTAATATAGGGAGGAGCTGGACCATGCAGAGCAGGGTGTCAAACTCACACTCACACGGGGCCGAAAGGAAACTCTGGGACGGAGTCGAGGGCCAAACTTAATATTTTTGAAAAAAGTGACGGCAATTTTGCACATTTTCTTTATCAACTTATATGCAATTTTGAACCTTTTAATTTGGAAACAAACTTATTTCTGCATTAACACTGAATGTGGAATAACCAAATTACACACGAGCAAGTCAGTTTTAAATAAAAGGCATCAGTGGTATGGGCCAGATTAACACTTTGTTGTACCCTGGGCAACAATATTCAAGGGCCCCATCATCACGACCCAAGGATCACCATAATATGGTCACATACGGAATATATTACTGTAATATGCAGTAAATATACTCAATACTTGAATGCCTGACATCACGTAACCGCTCAGGGTAACCTTTGACCCACCTCGTGTGGACTGACCAATGAGGAGAGGGTCTTAACTTGAGGCCCTCTCTTCATTGGTCAGTCTGCATGAGACTGACTCTCAACTGACGTTCAGTCATAGGCAGCGAAGCGTCTCTGTGCAGCGCAAAAGCCCGGGTGGACAGTTTGTTTAATGTAGGGTGATCATATTTCCATTTCCAAACAAGAGGACAGGGATCTGTGCCTATGATGTCACACTATGGCAACGCCACAAAAACCATGTTGGGACCCATTTTTTGAAAGAACCAAATTAATATCAGATTCTGCCAATTAAAGGGCTCTAAAACAATTCATATGTAAATATTTAGCATTTTTATTGCAAAATCTAATTTTTCTGCTTTAGTGCTGCAACAAGGTTTTATTAATAATAAATTATTATACCTTTTGTTTTACTACAGCATCGGTAAACTTTCTGTGCACAGATTATTAAGGATGCTTGTTTCAGCTGGGAGATTAGACGATAGGATGAATGAAAAAATAAGTTGTCACACACTCCATGGAAACTTTCAGAGAATCCACAAATAGTGGCTTTCAGGTGGTTTTGTTACTTCTAGCAGGTTTAGAAAAGAAGCTGATGAGACAGCATGTCTGATAATTTAGTTTTTCATCTGATAATATTAGAGCATGTCAGTAATGTCTGAGGGGCTTTTATAAACACTGTATAACTAACACTCCTGGAGAGGGTATGAATTACACAGAGGCTTCTGGGGAGCCCAGTTATGGGGGGGTGGGGGTGGGGGGGGGTGGGGTCATTTTGCCTTGGCCCCCAAAATGTTTTGAACCGGCCCTGGGTGTGTGACTGAGTTGTGAAGGTGATCTGAATTGTATCAGATGTATAAATATTACATGTGTATAACTTATTGTTTTATACAGGTAAAAACATGTAGTGGAGATAAATCTACCTACATTTTACTTTTCAACACTTTGTTTTGTTTTCTTGTTTTTATTTAACTATATTTTCCTGTCCTGTCTGTCTCTCATCTTCCTGCATCTCCTCTAAACTCTCCAGAAAAACTGCTGCCTGGATTCTTACTTTTTCACCTCATCAGTTACTTCTGAGCAGATCAAAGATCTCCTGACCGCAAAGCGGAGAGCGCGTTTCGATGCTGCGTCAGTGAGGTGAAATCACCGCAGCACAGGTGATGAGCTGCGCAGTAGCAGAGCGCTTCAGGCACAAATAAGACAGAAAATAGAGAACATGTGCGGACATAAACGATCGTGTGTTAATAATAGTTTTTTGGTTGCGCCACTTTGAGAATGGACAGTGCGCTGGAAGCAGCTGCCTGGAGCGCTGCGCAAGAACGCAGCGCTGTGCCGCTCTCTGCTCAGAAGAGTCCATAAATGATGTAATATAGGTAGAAAACTTTTTTCCGGCTCCCATGGATGTGTAGGATATCCAAACCCCCCATAATTCGATCCCTGCTCCTGGATGAAAAGCCGGACATTTTCATCAATACAAGATGTACATGTACCCTTATGAAAGAGTCCTACGTTGAGAGGTAAACATTAGAAGTGCAGGTAATGCATTCTGGTGCCTATAAATGAAAAATGAATGAAAATTAAATTGGGAGTTTTTATTTCATATTTTAGAAATAAAAATGAGGGGAAAAATTTCTGACGTCTTTTTAAACGAAAGTTTCTAGCGCCACCTGCCTGCTTCACTGAAGTCACTGCTTATTAAGGTCCGTCCAAAATTACCTTGGCCCACCCAAAAATGAAAACCTGGCGCCGCTCCAGTTATAAACCTCTGCAAATTGTTGTTCTTCACTTTATCAAACTGAGAGTTTGTACAGCTAATGTCAAGATGTAAAATTATGAATTCAGTCGAGCTCTTCCCTCCCTCTCCTGTTTCTCCTTGAAACCCGACATCGGCTGAGTGCGACGTAGAGAAACCAGACTGGTGTGGAGGTGAGCAAAACGGCGGGAAAACTGTGGGTGTTGAATCCCCCACATCCCCCACGGGTGCGACGCCCATGGCACCCAGTGTGGTCTTATGCTGCTGTGGCCCATCTAGGTCAATGTTGTGTGTTCAGAGATGCTCTTCTGCATACCTTGGTTGTAACCAGTGGTTATTTAAGTTACTGTTGCCTTTCTATCAGCTCAGACCAGTCTGGCCATTCTCCTTTGACCTCATTCTCTTTAAACCCAAGAGATGGTTGTGCGTGACAATACCAGAAGATCAGCAGTTTCTGTAATACTCAGACCAGCCCATCTGACACCAACAACCACGCCACGTTCAAAGTCACTTAAATCACCTTTCTTCCCCATTCTGATGCTCGGTTTGAACTACATCGGATTGTCTTGACCATGTCTAAATGCCTAAATGCATTGAGTTGCCAACATGTGATTGGCTGATTAGTAATTTGCGTTAACTACAGTTAACCACAGTTGGACAAGTGTACCCAATAAAGTGGCCAGTGAGTGTATATTCTTAGTGAGTAAATGAGTGAAAGCAACCACAGTCCAAAGAAAAACTTTAAAAGATCTTCAGAAAGTCCAGAGAACAGCTGATCAAGAAGATAACAAGATCTGCTGCTTGGAATTCTGTAGAATTTGGGAATCACTGTGGGAGGAGAGGTTTACATCTATATAATAAATGTGACTAATTAAGATATTTAAAATGTGACTGATAGTTTTTGTTTTATATTGATAATAAACCATACATTTCTGAATGTTGCACAATTCTCTTTGGTCACAATGTTTTAAAGTTGCATTTTACTTGAAATGTGTGACAAAAATCTCAAGATGTTTTTCTGACAGAACTCATAATTCAGGTTCAGTTTTCTATACTTTCAGTCTAATTTTGTTTCAGTTCCTGTGTCCTAAAGAGGAAAGAAGCAGCAGAAAAGTTTGCTGTGGAATGCAGTTTTTCTTTCTGTTCATGAAACTCAGCAGCAAGTTTACACAAAGAATGGTGAGGGTGAGTAATGGGATTATAGATGTAAAATGACGATTTACAGTAATTATTACTGGTGGTGGTCGGAGGGACCGGTGGCGCCTGTGCTCGGCAGCCTCGCCTCTGTCAGCGCGCCCCAGGGCAGCTGTAGCTACTTTGTAGCTCATCACCATCTGTGTGTGAATGGATGAATGATACACTGTAGTGTAAAGCACTTTGGAGTCCTTACTCTGAGAGGCGCTATACAAGTGCGGGGTCATTTATCATTTCTCATTTAATTAAAATTTGTTTAATTTGAATAATTTTGGATCAATTTACGAACAGAATTGTAAACCGGAAGCTCCTCTGTGCAGGTGTTTATTTTGAAGGAATGGAAGGAAGTCCGTTTAGGTTTTACAGTCAGCTTCACACAAGCAGAGGCGGCTTGGGCAAAAGTGAAGTCAGGGTTATCTTGGCAGAAAAACGTTTTTGACATTTCACAGAAAAATCTAATCTCAGGGATGTTTTCGTTTCAGATCAGACACACATCCAAACCCTGATCAGGTTAATCATGACTGAAACTCTTTTTTGTATATGAGTTGAGAGGAACCATGCTGAGAACTGAAGAAGGAACTGATGAAGAAACCGAAATTAGACCGAACCTCTAAAAACAACAAACGGATGATTTTAAATGAGGAAACTCAAACTTGAGGATTTAACCCGAATTGTCTGATCATGCAAAGAAGATGGATGCGTCGGAGGGTGCTTGTTGTTATTTTCACAGTTTTCATCATTGTCTTCGTGGATTTGCAGTTTCGCACCGGCAGCTTCCCCAAAGTAAACGTGGATTACCATCCGACACCTGGTGCGCCCCGCGGCTCCTCCGCTCCAGAGGACGCACGGAGCTCCGTCTCCAACAGCAGCACCGGAGGAGGCTCGCAGCCTGATGTCAGGAGAGGACAGCCGGTGTCTGAGGGTGCACCTGCCACTCAACCCAGGCTGAAGTTAGAGGACATCTACATAGCTGTAAAAACCACCGGGAGGTTCCACAGGACGCGGCTGGCGACCCTTTTGGAGACGTGGATCTCCAGAACCAAAACGCACGTAAGTTTCTAATCCTCAGCATGGGATTAAGAGTTTTAAAGGTGTCAATTTAAACAATTTGTTTTATGTCGGGGTAAATTAAACATGCCTCAGTGCTTCGATTAATTAAAAATCCTTCATTTAATTTTATTGTCTATCATCTGTCTCTTTAGGCTGTGCGTAATGGGCCTACAGTTCTCTGAACCAGCTGGCAAACTGTATTTCACAGATTAAGACTTAAATAATTAACTGGCATTTTTTAGGCCCACGTGTAATTACTGCAATAAAATACCTTAGATAAATCAAAGAGAGGCATTCAGATGTATTCTTTTGGGACTTTGCTGAACAAACCAGAAACCAGAAAATATGACTATCAGGGGAACTTTCTTTTTTATAATCTAATCTGTGAGAGTCAGATCAAATACTGCAAAAAGTTTCAGTCTTAAAGAAGCTTCTCACAGTGTCAAATAGAAGAAACATTCCCCATAACATCTCTAATAATCCATAAAGAGTTGATTGAATTTTGAATCTGTGATGCTGAGATATTGCAAATATTGGTAGTTTGGAATTTTAAAACACACCAAAAATTGAAATTGTATTTAGGTGTTGTAATAACTTTGTTGTTTTGGTGTTTTGCCTTTTTAATTATCCATCAAACTTTCATAACTTCACAAAAGATCAGTCAAAACATGTTCGGAAAGTTGGAAAAGCTACGATAAACCGTTATGTCACCCTGTAATTTCCCTGTTTACTGTTAAAAAAGCATAATTCAGAAGAGGAAGATGATGTCTTCCTCTTTTTTACAGAAAAGGCTGGACAAAAGCTTTGACATGGTGCCATGCTTTACTCTATTTGAAAACTCTTCATATAAAAAATCCTAATGTACACAAGCGCCTGATCAACATGCAGTAACACACGAAAACAGAGACACAGGAAGTGGTGCAGGTCTGTCTGCAGAGGGGAAGCCGTGTTGTGACTTTGTTAACAATACTGAAACGGAAGCCGCTCAGAGAACAGGAAGCTGAGATGCAGATTATTACAGAACAGAATGAACCTAATCCAACCCTCAGAACGGGTGAAAGGTAACGTTTAACCGCCTTGGCAGCTGCTTTCAACTCATCAAGGCCTCTCTTGACCATGGGGGGGAAAAAAAGATTATAGCAGCAGAAATCATCCTCTTAAGGCAGCTTTGTTGCTTTCCTACATCCATGTTTATGCTACTGAATCACTTTTTTAGCACGCCTCAGCTAATCCCACACATGTTCAGTCGGCTGGTCTGGACTCACTGCAGGACATACTATCCTGTCCATTCTCAAATTTTGGCGGTGACCTGGGATGGTCTTGACTCAGTAGTGAGTCAGGTTACAGCCGGGATGGAAGGCGTCACCACTGACTTCAGAATCTCTCGGATATCCTACAGGGCTGAGATTGCTTTAAATGAGACATTTTAAGCAAAACTCACCTTTTGCTTTCTTTTGTGTCTCAACTGCCCATATAAACAATGTTGGGGAGAAACAGAATACATGCACCACCGTTAGGTATTTAGAGTACTAATGATGAGTAACTGTATTCTGTTACAGTTACTATTTTAAACTTTTAGAAACAATTACTTAGTTTATGGGTTCACGTAGGTGTATGTATGTATGTATATATATAAATACATATATATATACACACACACACACACACACACACACACACACACACACACACACACACACACACACACACACACACACACACACACACACACACACACACACACAGCTAACGGGACTGAAATGTGAAGTCACGCAGGACAAACTGGTGTCTGAGTCCTTTTCTAGAAATTAATTCAGTTATGTAACCTGATTATTTATATTTCTCTGTTATTTCTCTGCTAAATATTTTGGTGGGAAAATATTTCATAAACAGAAAATGTCAACAAATGTAATCACAAGCAGTTATGGACTCTGTTCATACAGAAAATGCACACACAGACACAATGCTGAAATATTAAGAAGTTTGATCATATGTGAATAAATCTTTTTCATTCTATAAATTCCACAGTAAATGTATAAATAATGCTAACATTCACAACGTTTCTTACCCATGAATACACATTTTCAAACAGAAACTTTGACCTGTTAAAGCTTTAGAGGAACAACCTGCTCAGTTTCGAAAACATCCAAAATACGTCTTTTAGCTTTCTTGCAAAAGCAGAATCCACGCCCTTGAATAAAACACACATTCCTGTTTGTTTTGATCTCATCTAACGGGTGTTTTTTTATTTAGTGCCTCACCGGCACAGAAAGTGGAACTCGGGACGGTTCAGCCTGACAAGTTGTGGAAATTAAAGTTGTTTTCTCAGACCTGCGGAGCAAACCCTCCCAGTGTGTGTGCCGTGAACGGATCCAGAATCATTTTAACAAGTTGGATGAACTTTAAAGGCTTTATTCAACAAGGGTATCAACAAATGGGATACTTCTTTCTTGCATTTTTAAACAGCATTTGACCTCAGTTATGTTTATTTTAACATTGTTTTGAAAAAGGCATCAATAGTACAGGAGCAAACTACAGAAAAACAATATTTTTGTTAAAAACATTTAATAAAAAAGACCCATACACATTATGATAGTTTGATTTTTAACTTCAGGTTTTGAAAATACCTCAAAAATGTTTTTATATGGTTTTGCCACTAGATGTCAGTGTTGCACCACCATTTTTGTCTATTTTTCCTGTCTGAGAAGCCTGAAGTAATGGAAGAGACATAAAAAGACTGTGATTTATTATTCTGCAAATAAAACTCTGAGTCAGCCATATTTGCTCCCAAACCTACTGCAGACTAATCATGTCTCGTGTGTTTTGTTCATGTTGGAATTTTCTGGTTTTTCATCATCTTTTATGGTAAAAATCCTGAAAAAGAATCAATAACAGATGCAGAGGAAGAACAAATCCTGATCGATTCTGGATCTTTTTTCTCTCTTTGTTTCTCCCCACAGACGTTTATTTTTACAGATGCAGAAGATGAGGACTTAAGTTCAGAAGGTAAACATATTTAATTACCCTCAGATTTGAAAATAAATAGTAATTTCGACAAGATCTGCAGCCTACACTTTCACTACATCTTAAAGCATGCAGCAACAGGAACCTGCAGCTCACACAGCTGACTAGTAAGAATTTTCCAGGTCTTCAGCAGCGTGTTGCAGTCTAGTGGTGCTCATTTTCTCTGTGTGATGATGCAGGGCCAGATTTACCACTTGACATCCACTGTAATGCTTGAAACAGGCTTCCCATTTCAAGCCAGCTCTTTGTTTCGCGTCACTTTCACCAGCCAATATGACAACTAATGAATGGTCAATTTAAACACAAAGTGCAAGCTAGACCTCATCACCCTACATCAGTGGCTGGCGGGGAGCAAATGGAGGCAGATCCTTGCAGATGGGGTCAGAAAGCTCGAGGATGGACACTGCAGTGGAAGCTTTTAACAGGACATTAATGGGCTCTGCTCTCAAACACAGCAGCATTTGTTTCTACTTCCTGTTTACTTTTTTATGATGTCTAGGTAAAAAAACATGTCTGCTTTATTTTTTGTTTCCATTTGTTTTTACCATTTATCCATCCATCCATCCATTCATTCATCCATCATTCCATCCATTTTCTGCTGCTTGTTGGGTCATGCAGGTAACAAATCCAGAATATCATTCAGTTCCTTCAGGAGAATCCCATCTGTCTATCAATCTGTTCATCTGTCTGTCCATCCATCCATCCTTCATCAGTCCATCCACCCATCAGTTCATCCATCCATCTTTCCATTCCTCTATCCGTTGGTCTGTGTGTCCATCCATCCATCCATCCATCCATCCATCCATCCATCCATCCATTTTCTGCAGCTTGTTGGGTCATGCAGGTAACAAATCCAAAAGCTCATTCTGTTCCTCCAGGAGAATCCAAAAGCATTCCCAGGCCAACAGGAATACATTGGCTGTCTGTCACTGTCGCAACGCCGCCCTCTCGGTCAGCCAGGCAGTCCCTCCTTTTGGTGCATTTTTCAAACAGGAAGTGTGGATGGAGAAAGACTGGTAGTGGCCATGACTTGCTCTTTAAGACAAAGACTCAGCCATCCTGCAGAAAACTTTAGACCCGCTTCTACTGCCGGAACTTCAGGAAAATTTTATCTGAACTCCTGAAAAGACTGAATTAGACACGATGGCTGAAAGGGCCAAGCCATCGTATCTCCTGGCCGATTTACCCCCTTCCAGATAGTTCCCAGAATTTACATAGTGGAAGCATGGTTTCCACCTTTTTCTTTAGCCCTGACAAATAAATCACCACCTTAATGGGCTGCAGGAGTTTAAGAACTTCTCGTGAATGCAAGTGTTGTGTTTTCAGAGCTGTTGGTACCTGGTGGTGTTTCCCATCACCTCAGGGGTTGAAACAAGACTCATTCAAACACCTTAATGAATTAGAACTACAGTAAATGGTTTATCCTTACTGTAAAAAGGAAACATGTTAGGTCATCATTGAATTTATGGTGGGCAAGCCTTGGCTCTTGCTTTTAATTTGTTTTTAAATTGGTTTTGATGTTTTTATTTGTCAATCGATAACTCGCCTTCGTTTGTTTTTTTAGCTTTATTAAAAAGAGAGCATTGTTTTGGCAAGATCAAAGTCTAAATACCACTACAATGCCTGTTAATCTCCTAATCTGATGCTGTTGTTCTTTCAGGTTATAACCTGGTGGTAACCAGCTGCCGCTCAGATCACAGTCAACAGGCTCTGTCCTGCAAGATGTCTGCAGAGTATGATGGATTCATGGCTTCAAACAAAAGGTGAGATGGATTAGAATCCATTAATCCTCCTGCCTGGGGAGGATTCATGAACCAGATTAAGATTGGAGCATATAATCAGGGTATTAGAGCTATAGAAGGAACTCGATTTTTAACCAGAGCTTACAGCTTTTAACTTTATGCAAACAAATTACAATAAATGTACAAAGGCAAAATTCAATAGTATTAGTATAAATAGTATTGGTGTTAGTACTTTTACTTATTTGACAAAATGACATTAAAATCTTTTTGTTGAGAACATTTAAAATAATCCAGGTGGCCATAATCCCAACGCAATAGGAAGAGTCACAATTTAAGTTTCAAACACAAACAATTTTCCTCATTAGTGTTATTAACACTAATTACATTAACACAAAACAAAAGCTAAATCATCAGAGAAGACTAACAGGAAGGAGAAATAAAAATTTTGAGAGACTTCCAGCCTAACTTGAAACACACACACACACACACACACACACACACACACACACACACACACACACACACACACACACACACACACACACACACACACACACACACACACACACACACACACACACACACACACACACACACACACACACACACACACATCTAAAAAAGCTAGAAAATCTGTTGGAAATGCGAAAGACAGATTTATTACTGAGGGAAAAAACAGCTCGTGTTTGGTGTGTGACTACGACACAGTCTTGTTCTAACAGCGGCAGTAAAAATGAGTTTCGTCTCTTTCGTTCCAGCACTAACTAGAGAACGTCACCAAGGACAGCAGAGGAAGCACGACTTCGCTTTAATCCAGAACCAGTAGATTTATCGTTTGGACTCTCATGTAGCTGACGTATTCTGCTTAGGAATCAGACCCTGACATTAAAGATGGAAGGAAAATATTAAACAGTTTGATGGCTTTGAGCGGTCCAGTGATGAAATCCAGAACAAAAATAGCTGCTGACTGGAGGTCGCTGTGTGACTTCCTGTTCTGTGGATTTATTCAAAACTCAGCATTGTTCCAGAACATTCGAACAGCTGAAAGCCGTCAGATATTAGGAAGTGGATGCATGCCACTCTTAAAAACATCTTATACTGCTTAGAGTGAATTTTTTATTTTAGTATTTGCTCAAAAATTCTTTAATTACTGCAAGAGACATCCAATCCAGTTACACTTGACATTTGGCAAGGACTTCCTATCTATTCTCAGTCGAATTCGTGTTCACTTTCTCCAAAAAAGTAAAATAAACGTTTCCTGCTGGTTTTACAGCTGTTAAAAGACCCAACATGCTTTCTAGAGGATGAAAGTTAGGATTTGTTCTTTTGAAATATGATTAATTTATTATTTTTACATCATGAGAGTCTTTTGAGAGGAACTCGAGACATTTGGGGAAAAATCAATAAAAACTTAACAAAATGGAAAAGTAACACATGACTGGTTTTTGATTTAATTGTTTTAACCAGAATAATATTGAAAAAAAAAATTCTGGTCAGTAATTTCCAAAAGTCTTCACATCCTCTGTGAGGGACACGCAAACCAAATGAAAAAGTTTTCAGATACTCCGCATGTCTTTGTTTCCAAGAAGCCTGATTTCCTTGTAATCTTTTAAAGTGGTTCTGATCAATAGTTTTTCAGGCTTTATCGAGGTCTTATAAAGCTTTTATGTGAACTAGATCAAGAACACTTTGAAGGAGTAGAAGAGAGTTTGGCTCATTGGAAGCAAAACATAAGAATTGACTCAACATTTTTGAGGATCTTCTATAAACAGTAAAAATCAGGGATTCCTTGTGAAATGACACACACAAATTATAAATATATTAAGGGAGGGAATTTAACATGTTAATTATGATAAATTAAATAGAAAAATAATGTGTTAATAAATTACCTCTTGAGTCCGAAGTCTATCATCAAAATTGATGCCCTATATATAAATAAATATCACTAAGATGTGCCTCTAATAAAAATACAGAGCCTGAGCTACAAGAACATTTCAACACTTCTTACGTGCTCCAAACAATAAACTAAAACCATAATTAAATGAATCATGACAAATCTCTTCATGAATTAAATAAATCTTCTTTTTTACTGTTATGTTTTGTGGTTGGTAGAAAGCAGGCAAGCAGTAACTTTATCCATATGAACTTTATTACAGCAGGAGGGACAAGCATTCATACAGCATTGATCCTGTAACTCTCAGCAGAACTTCCCCTGAACTCTACACTACACCTCTATATATATTAGCAGTGTTCTGCTGCCACCTAGTGTTCAGTTTAGTACTCATGTCCATTTACACTTCACAAATAACACATTTACACATCCCAACAAATCCCACAATAGTTACCTTTATAATGAGTCCACAGTAGAACTGGTAGTTACAGAAATATACTCATTAAATAGTGGGTATGTCATCTGTGCTTCACTAACAATATTTTAAACTTAAAAAATATCCTTAAAGAGACAATGTGTAGATTTTACTGTAACTGGAAATATCCATCTAAATGCTGTTAAAAATGAATTAAATGATGCCCAGTTGTTGAAAAATATTGGCGGCTTTGTAACATATAACACACACACACACACACACACCCACCCACACACACACACACACACACACACACACACACACACACACACACACACACACACACACACACACACACACACACACACACACACACACACACACACACACACACACAAATCAGGTCTAAAATACATGGGAGGGGGTCTAAGGGTGTTTCTCAATGCAAAGGAACCTTGCCTTGATGTCTTGGCCCCGCCCCTGTTGCCTAGGAGATATGTCATCGGGAGCCACCAAGACGTGTTCCAATGTTCATGTTCTACCGAGGCGTGTGTTCTCTGTTTGCTAGCCGTTAAGCTAGCTGAGTGAGGATACACGGGAGGTGTCTTGTAGCCTAGCCTATGGTCAAAAATTACCCAGAATACACAGCGGTATTTTTTAACAGGACGGCGGATCAGAAGCCGGCAGCTACTTCAGGGACAATTTTCAAGTTTAAAAGTAAGTCAACTAATTTAAAAAGTTTTTTTTAGATCCAAAGAAGTTATCTATTGTTGGTTAGTTGCTTAGTAGTTGCAGCTTCGATGGCTAGCGGCTAGTAACTGACTTATATTTTTAATTTAATAAACATATACACAATTTAAAAAGTAAAAGTCTCATTATATATTTATATTGAAACTAATACATATAAAATATAACGTTATCTCCAGTGTCACGTGATGTTACGTGGCCGCCGAGGAAGCCGCGGTCACGTGATGCAAGTCTGTTCCATTTAATCGTTTTCTTTGACCAAGGAAGGACCGTGTCCTCAAAAGCAAGGCGCCTGGCCTCGCAAGACATCGCCTCGCAAGGCCAGGCGCCTTAACATTGAGAAATACCCTAAGTCTCTGGGTGACGCCATGTTAGATGACGGTAGCCTGTGAGGACAAAATGCATTTACAGTTTTTTAACAGTTACAAAACTATTGTCATTCATTAACATTGAATTGTTGTTTTACACATTTGCCTTTTCACTTGCTGCCAGTGATGAAAGTGAGTCTGATGTGTTTGTCATTTTGCTGAAGTTTACACTCCCCAGGGCTTTTTGACCCTAATGGACATCTGTTGGTTAGGTCTTACTCCAACACAAAAATACTGCTTGCTTGCAATGATTTTGGTATCTACTGCCCCCTGTTGCCAGGAAAAATACACACTGTCGCATTAAATAGACAGACTGAGTTGATTCTTTTTTGGTTTGGTTTCTATATGAAAGCTTTAGTCAGTGATTAATTCCTCTACAAGAATAAACCAACAAAGAGGAAAATTAGTGAACAAATCTCTGATGTGCCTGGTTTCAAACACAAAAAATCTTAGACAGGAATTCAATCGTGTCATTTTCCTTTCTGTCGTTTTCCAGGTGGTTCTGTCACGTTGATGACGACAACTACGTGAACCCGGAGGCTCTCCTCGCTTTGCTCTCGACCTTTTCCCTGGAAGGTGACGTCTACGTGGGCAAGCCGAGTCTAGACAAACCCATCAGTGCTCACGAACTGCTGGAGGGAAATGCAACGGTACCTGTCACACTGTTTGTTTGACTCATTCCTCCACTGATTCAACTCCACTTCTAAAGCACTACACAGACTGAAAGAACTGTGTCAAGTTCACTCACCCTTGGGTTGAATAAAGTTAATCTGGAATAGTTTTATGGTGCAGATCACAAGATAATGGGAAATTCAAATGTTACAAAAGGAAACAAGGACAACACAAAAAAGACATTTCTTTATTATCAACCAGTGGGATGATTTTTCCTTTTCCCATCTTTCATTCCTTTTCTGATTTCTTCTTCTTTTCTATTAATTAATTTCCTCAACCAACACACGTTTTTTTGTGCCTTAACCTCGTTTAAAAGGCAGCCGTTCCAGGTTAATGGCTTTCTCTCATCACTGCTAACATTTTATTACACCCTTATTAAAAAGATGTTGCATTTTCCGAGTTTTGATCCTCTCCAGGACCAAATCAAAGCAGTCAAATAATTTCAGAAGTGCTAATCAAGAGTTTCCAACCCCAAAAATCTTCATTAGTTGCTTTTTTAAAAGTTTAATTCAAAGAAAAAGGAGGTCTTTGGATCATTGCTGCAGAACGGTTGAGCTTGTCAGAAGAGTAGCTGAAATCTCTCCCGATCTAAAGTCTCTTCTCCGAGTTGTACCTTCATGCAGGAGGGCATTGGACTCTGGCTGTTGCAGATCCCCACAATTCTGTTGTTGCAATTTGTCAGAGACTTTAGAGCGATGCCCGTTCTAGGCAAGCATGTAGCGACAGAGAGGAAAGCTCAGTATGAGCAGCCATCCACTGACACACACACACACACACACACACACACACACACACACACACACACACACACACACACACACACACACACACACACACACAACGTGATAAATTAAAAGATTACTCTGATTTGATCAAAAGGACACAATACACCATGTTTATTTACATTTTCAGTATTGTTTACTGTGCTTAGCGTGCTGGACCCAATGTCTTCCTGCTTGATGCTCAGCTGTAAGGGGTTGGATTGAGGGGTTAAACCACCAAATAGCAGAGGTGTGGACTCGAGTCACATGACTTGGACTCGAGTCAGACTCGAGTCATTATTTTAATAACTTCTGACGTGACTTGATAAAATCTATAAAGACTTACGACTTGACTTGGATGTGAACGCCAATGATTTGAGACTTGAATCGACTTGCATCTTATGACTCGATGATGACTTCAGCATATTTGATATTTCAGCACAAAAGTGGCACGACATGGACATAAATCATAAAACATTCTTCGTTCTGGTTTTGATCTTGCACTGCTAAACGCAGCAGCACTTTGTTTATAATCAGTTTCAGTTGCACTTTCTGCTTGTTTGAGCAAATAAATGAAGCTTTAAGAAGCTTTATTTCTGGAATTTATTTATTATCATTGTCATTAAATTGAAGTTGGACAGATGACTTGAATATGACTTGAAAATTCAAAGTTAAGGACTTGGACTTCCACATTATTGAGTTTGGACTCAACTTGGACTTGATTGTCTTTGACTTGGACTTGATTCGAAACTTGACTGGAAAGACTTGTGACTTACTTGTGACTTGCAAAGCAGTGACTTGGTCACACCTCTGCCAAATAGTTCCCGAGCACAGCCATTGCTGCAGCTGACTACTCCCCACGGGAATAGATCAGATGCAGAGGCGTGATTTTACCAGCAGGTGATGATGACTAATGGGACTCTAGGAAGGCGTGAGAAGATCCTGAGATGATTCATTTTGATGAAGATACAAAGCAGTAAGTTTTATGCTTTTCTTTTACTTATGCAAAGCTTCTAAATGCTCTTGGATCCATTTCCAGCACATTTTAAATGCAAACTTGTAAACCTTTTCAGACAATCAGATTTTATTTTTACTTGGAAAAGAAAGATTTGTTTAGTTGGCCCTGCAACATTTTTATAAATAAACAAATCCTACGAATGTCTATAGTTTTTCAAGCCTCTCAAAATGACTTATTATTTAAAAGTGCATCTAAACAAACTCTAAACTTTTCCTTTAATGTTTTTGTCAAAATCAAATTTGACCCAATTTGCTTGTTCCTATTTAGCTGGTTGTGGCAGCCATCTTGGATCAGGTTGGTGCCAAAACTGTAGATTTACACCAAGTGAAGAGTTTCTGAAATTATTATCAACATTAATCTGAAGGTTCATGAGTTCACGAGTTTCCTAAAATAAAAAAAAAATAAAAAACTGACAGTCTAGTCTCAAAGCTCTTGTGCAATCTGCTCAAATGTTTGCTGTGAAACACTCTGGACTATAAAAACATCAGATTTTAGATCATTATCTGTAAAATAAACAGGGCCACAGCCTTTTTGACAGATTTTGCTTATTATCTGACGGTACTGGCGAGCTTATGACCAAACATAAGAAAACTGACAAAACAATGAGAAAAAAAAAACCATTCATGCTGTCTGAAATAATAAAAAGAAGTAAATGTGAATTTAAGATTTAGATAACATCTGCTGCTCTAATAAATAATCATCTTCTACCAACTTTTTCTAATTAGCGCTCACATTTTACAGCCTTTTCTCTTCCTGCAGCGACCCGTCGTTCATTCGGATCTTTTTGCTCTGCTGGAGATCCTCAAGAGCCGTAAAACAAAGCGGAGGCCTTTGAAAATTCACACGTTCAATTATTTTCCATTTTCCCTCTCATCAGTGCTGCAGGGATGATGAATGAGGATGTAATCAAGTCTGTGTGTGGATGAATGAGTCAAAGGAGGAACACGGAGGGTTATTGTGTTTGTTCACCTTGGGACTATTTTGAGTGATTAGAATTTTGTTTGGATTTTTGGCACACAAGCAATCCGTTTTAGGACTTTTTTAGACACACAAACAGGTGTGTAGTGAAAGAAATGAACATTTAATTGTCCGTGTGTGTGTGTGTGTGTGTGTGTGAGCTCACAGAACTAATGCTTAAATGGCGTTTAACTGCATGCTGATTCCCGTAAGCTGCACGTTTCAATCTCTAGTTCATTTCTTGAAATTGCTCTCTCGATCACTTTAGCGTCACGTTCTCTGCTCTGATTGCATCCATTTATATTGAAAATAGATCTTTATTAGTCTTTGCTTCCTGTTACCCTTCTGCTCTCTCTCCCTCTCTTTCCTTCCTTCATCATTTTGCTGTTTTTTTTTTCCTAGTGAGAAAAATAAAAACGAATGTCAGGCTTCTCTCCTTGTTGTTTTTACATCTAAAGCTGCCTGTCGTTTTTGATTTCCTGGCTGTAATGTGAGGGGAATGGGAGGAGGAATGGGAATAATGCTACAAATGAGCTGAAAGGAAAGGGGGGAATAAAGAGAGGGGTTGCGAAAAAGATAATGAGATGTTACGGGAAGAGAGAAAGGTGAATCATGAATCTAATTGCAGAAATAAGAGAGGAAAAATATCATATTCTAAAATATTTAAGGTGTGGTTCACTAAAAACATTTTAAATTATTTTTTTCTGATTATAATCAGTCACTGTGAGTTTTTCATGCCGGCTACATCATAAAAGTCTCTTACACCTATCTGCTGCATTAGCGTCTGATAAACCTGACAGATCTACATCACACCGTCACTGAGCATTCATGGACTCACCCATCTTGACTCACGATGGGGAACGCTGTTGTTAGTTTAACGTGCAGGAAACAGCTAGTTTAAGCTAACTGTTAGCATTAGCAACACCACCACATAGCAGAAGCTCGCGTCGCTCGTATCCAATCCGGAGCAAGATGTCTGAAGCTCAGCTGTGATGTGGGTAACTTTTAGGTCTGAGAAGTAATTCACCGGTATCTCCCCCCCCCCCCCCCCCCCCCAAAGAACAACTTAAAAGGATTTCATTCGTCATAGCGTCCACTTCAAATGTATTGATTAAACGAGTAAATTATATATGTTCAAACTGAATTGGAGAAGGGATGACAGGAGAACAAAAATAAGAAATCAAAGTTGAAAATGACTAAAATTAGAATAATCATAAAGGAAATTACATCAAACTTTAAACACAAAACAAAAAATAAAAAAGACAAAGGATAAAAACTGTCATTTTGCTCTTTAATTACAGGTTCTGCTTTTAAACAAGGACAACAACATGACATCTGTAGTTATAAATATCCACCAGCTCTTGGAAATAATTCAAGAACAGCAGATAGATGGTATTCAGCAAGGGCTGCTTTTGATAAATAAAGAAACAACCAAAGTAAAAATAAAGCTGTAAACAGACAATTCCTCAGCAGCAGTATCACAGGAATTGTGTGTGTGTGTGTGTGTGTGTGTGTGTGTGTGTGTGTGTGTGTGTGTGTGTGTGTGTGAGAGTGTGTGTGTGTGTGTGTGTGTGTGTGTGTGTGTGTGTGTGAAAAGGAACAGGTTGTCTTAGCACTTATGATTATCAAGTGTGTGTTTGAGGAGTTTTATGTGTCTGTAAACCCAGATTTAAGTATTTATTCTGTGCTTCCTTATGAGGATCAAACACAGCAAATTTGTTCAAGATGTAGAAGCAGTTTGAAAATAAACCCTTTAAAGGTAGGAGAGCTGGAAAATACATTGGTGACATTTTTTTTCTCTTTGGTTGAAAATTATAAACTTATCAGCGAGAGCGTAAAGCAGTTTTAGACACTGAGCATGATCAGACAGCATCTAAACTCCAGTGAGATTGTGTTGTGTGACTAAACTAGGAACTACAAAAGAACAAGCTAATTACAAATTACACAACAGATTTTTTTTATTATTAATGTACCAGTCTGATTCTCCAATGGTTTTACATCAGCCGCGTTCCTCCCTACGCTGCTCCAGTTTTTTGCCGGGTACGAGGAAAGAACTGTTTAATTCAGAGGCAGCAGGTTGTTTATAATCTCTGAGTTAGTTTTACTTTTATTCTGATTTATTGAAAATGAAAAAAATTGTAATCAGTCTAATTGTCCATCCATCCATCCATCCATCCATTTTCGGCTGCTTACCCGGGGTTGGGTCGCAGCGGCAGCCTAAACCGAGAGGCCCAGACTTCCCTCTCCCCAGCCACTTGGACCAGCTCCTCCGGGGAATCCTAAGTCGTTCCCTGTCCAGCTGTGATAGTCCCTCCAGCATGTCCTGGTTCGTCCTTCAGGTCTTCTCCCGGTTGGACGTGCCCGAAAAACCTCATTAGGGAGATGTCCAGGAGATATACTAATCAGATGTAGGGTTTGGTAAATTGAGTGCTTTAAGAGCGCTCTCTCTCTCTCTCTCTTTCTCCATATATATATATATATATATATATACATATATGTATATATATGTATATATATATACATATATATACATATATATATGTATATATATGTATATATATATATATATTACCTCTACTTATGACCAATAAGCTGCGACCCTCTATCTAAATATAGAATATCAACCCTGCTTGGTCTTTACGGTGTTTAATCAGGCAATTCTAGGATTCTTTATTTATTTGGGGATTGTACACACTTCATTTTGATTCAGAAAACAGTCAGGTTTATAAAAGTAAGAATTTATTTTACCAACACTTAAAACATGACCAGTTAACTAACATTTACTGTGATGGATGAAACTAGATGTGATGTATGAAACCTATGTGTGAATGCGATGTCATCAGAACTTCCGGATCTAGGAGAGCTGAGTTCTGGATGTAAAAGAATTTGGGTTGCGCTACGCTATGGAGATGATTATTATCAAAGGCACATCAGACGCTATCTGTGTGTCTACTTCACCCGTTTCGGAGACCCTCTTAGTGGATCCGAAGGTCAGAGAGGTCGGATGACCTCTGGCACAGAAGGTCCAGTAGATATACCACCGCACTGACTTCTCCAGTCCAGAGATGTCTCGGATCGCGACAGATGGATGGAACCGCGCGTCTGGGACTCTGAAGGAGTCTAAACAATATCAGCTTGTTCTGCAGGAACTGTTTGCTTTATCAGATTCGCAGGTGCAAAAAGGTTTTGACGACGTGTCAAAAGCTTTGGTGGTTAAGGAGGTCTTTGGCTTCAGATGGCCGGTCTGAAGCTTTCTCATGTTATGATTTGTGTAGCCAACCAGAGGTTGACAAGTTTGAGGAATATTACCAAGAATCTCAGAAACACACGCCTTCTTTCATACCAGAGGCTCTGATCTGGGTAAAGGACTATTTATGTGTCATGAGTTTAACTTTACTTTGTCCTTGTGTGAGTGCAAATGGTGATGACCTTGTCATGTAAACATGCTGAAACATATTTCAATCACTGTAATCATAACATAACATTCATTTCACACTTCAATCATTGAGCACAGATTAATTAAACATTTCATTATATTATAATTATTATAAGTAGCAATAAACAAATGTTTATTTAATGATTATCTAGCTTATAAGTTGTAGTTCATAGCTGGTTTAGGAAATCCGGGCTGCGAGTGTTCCTTATATGGAGGCATGAAGAGTCCTGAAAGTTTGGACCTTGAGGAGAGAATGTTATTGTTGACATTTCGTTATCTGTCTTCAGAGCTGCAGGCTCTGAGCTCCAGCTGGTGGGATGAAGGCAGGCTGATTTAGAGGGGACACGTGCAGTCTCGTATCTCCTTTTTGACCAGATGTTGAATGGTCAAACTGTAACTAAAAACTGGCCATTGCTGGACGTTACACAGATGCCCGAGCCACCTCAACTGGCAGTTTGCAGAAATAAACAGGACAAACCGTATGATCTGTGTTGGTAGACTATCTCCCTACTCTGTGATCCTCCACAGGAACTTGCATTGATTCTAATACATTTAGTTTAATACCTCTTATCGTTTGCAATCTGCATGTTTGTGCTGCAAAGCAGAAAAAGATAAATACTGCAACTAATGCAGTGGTACTTAAAATCGGCAGATACTTAAATGACTAAATCAAAGAAACAGGCATCAGGGCCACTGTGTGTTTTTGTCTGCAACTGAAGCCAATTTAGTGTAACCCATATTCTAATCAGTGCAGTGTGTTTTTATTTATAGATTGTTGCCTGTTTGTGTTCTGTCTCAGAGGAAGGTCCAGTTCTGGTTTGCTACCGGAGGAGCAGGTTTCTGTCTGAATCAACGACTGGCAGAGAAGATGTCTCCATGGGCCAGGCATGTGCATCATTATCTTTCACTTCTGAAGTAAAATAACAAGCTAGTTTCCTAATGTGAGACCTAATTCAGCTAATTTTCTCTTGTCTCACAGTAAAAAGTTTTTTAAAAGTTAAAAATATTAAATTGCAATCATTCATGTACAGAAACAGAAAAAAAAGATTCATGTCTATAAAAATAACTACTGGGAAATTGTTGCTTGTGCAAAATTTTACAGCCTGGAGAAAAAGTTAAAGAAAAAAGAGAGAAGTCTTCACCAGCAATGTCCGATGCTGGCTCTCGAGTGCAGCGTCCCACGTGTTTTTGTTGTTTTCCTTCTCCAAAACAGCTGATTCAGGCCTTGTCCACATGTAGCTGTTTTAAAAAAGACTAATATCCCAAAAATAGCATCCACACCACCTCATTCTTGGAAAAAACTCCATCCACACGTAACCGCGTAAGTGCATTGTTAAGCACATCCACAGGCATACCAGACCTGTGGGCGGCAGTAGTTCCCCCGAATCCCATCCATTTCATCTCCCTACTCCAACAAAACATGAAACATGGCACCTAGCTCATTTGTGTGGACCGATAAGGAGGTAGAATCGCTCTTAAATGCAGTTTCATAACTAGTTTAACTACTTGTTAAATGTTGCAGCGTAAACACAGGTCGCACATGGGCTGTCAGCATTTTTCTCGCAGACAGGGACAACCAAAAACTCTGCCCACACAGAAACTCTTAAAACGGAGAAAACACAAATCTTCACTTCCGCCAAAGTTTTCAAAAACATGTATTATCGTTGCGTAAATCAGCGTTTTCGTATGGATGAACAATAGAAAATTGTGTCTTTGTTTTGGGAGATACCCGGCTAGTGTGGACTGAGCCTCAGTGCTTGGATGACCTCTTAATTGCGTCCTCAAGGTCTGCAGACTTTTATTAATTACCTGCTGATTCAAGTCAGGTGTGTCAGTGCAGAAAAAATGTCTTAAACACTCATTGGAGTGACCCTCACACACAGGAAATTAATTAAATTCTGCTTTTCTTCTTTTACTTTAAAAGGATACTAAGCAGTTTAGGCTTGCTTTTAGCACCCCCTAGCGTTGCTAGTGGAAAATTCCTCTCCTCACTGAGTGTTTGTCATTTTAACACCTTAATCTATCAGCTGAAATGCCTCCTCAGCCTTCATCAGTTTTTACAGGAGCGATTCATAACTAAATCAAACAAATCAGCTGTGTTCACGATCTAAAACATGCAGGAAATGTGCAAGAAACAGACTAGCGTCCAACAGCGACCGTACCAGCACTCTGAAGTTGCAAGTGTAGTATTCTGGCCACAGAGGACAGTGGGGGTCCGAGTGACTTTTCATTAACCTTGTAAAAGGTTGTTTTGGCACATACTGGCTTAAGAAAATGACAAAAAATCTGAAAAAAGTTGCATTGTATGGTTTTAAGCATATATTTTATTTTGATAAAATTTCTTTCAAAGGTATTCTAAACATGTTATTTTTGCATCAGTAGTGGCATTTATCTATTACTCATCAGACTGATGATATGCTTTGATTGTAGTTTAAATTACCCAGATGTGTTTATGTGACAGAAAGATGCTACATAAAAGAATAATAACATTATGTTAAAGGTGTAGTTCACTGTAAAATCACTTATTATTATTAATATTATTATTGAATATAATCAGTCACTTTGAGTTTTTCCATGCAAGCCGAAATAGTCTCCTACACCTATCTCCTGCATTAGCTTCTGACAGAAAAACCACAATGCTAGGATTTTAAAAGCCTGACAGATCTACATCACACTGTCACTTAACATTCATGGACTCACCCATCTTGACTCACGACGGGGAAGGCTGTTAGTTTAAGCTAACCGTAAGCATTAGCAACTTCCCCACATGGCAGCATCTCCTCCAGGCTTGTGTTTTTTGTGGAGATCAAAACTCCAAATTGCAAGTCAGTAAGATGGATAAGAACATCAGGTAAAATCTAGGAGAATTCCACACAGACATATTATTTAGTGCTTCATTCCTTCACCACAGGAATAAAGCTAACAATGATGGCCTTTTTTCAGCTGTCATCAGACTTAAAAAATATTTCAAACGAGAAAGCTCTAAAATTGTTAGAGCAGTGGCATTCTTTTGATTTTTTTAACCGCATTAATCTGCAGCATGATTTTGATGAAAATAAATAAATAAAATAAAGCCGACTAAATCCTAAAAGGGTTGAAACACAAGTCCAAGGTAGATCTCAGCTGTCTGCGCAACAGTGCTCTCAAAGAGCCGAGACTGATCGCTGCTCAGGGCTAGATGGTAGGAAATCCAAAAAAGTCCAAAAATATGGTGTTCTTTGGAGAAGGTCAGCACTAAAAACACGAAATGAAAAGTTAACGGAGCACAAGATGCAAACTCACCAGTAACGTCTCTGTTGGGTAAGAGTTCGGCAGCTTGAAAGCGACTTTATTGTTGTTAAAGTTTCCCCTGGAACAATTCAAAGTTTCTCACTGTGTAGATGTGTTTGACAAAGTTTGGGGTTAAAAGAGTTAAAGAAGCAAATGTGTGTGTGTTTAATTCAGTGGTTCGCATTTTGAGAGGACATCAGAGAAGATCCGTCTCCCGGATGACTGCACGGTGGGCTTCATTGTGGAAAAACGACTAGGAATCTCAATGGTCCACTGTCCTTTGTTTCATTCCCACCTGGAAAACCTGCAACTCATAAGTCAAAGAAGCATCCCACATCAGGTGGTAGCACATGCTTATGTACACAGAATAAACACCGCTGCAGTTTTTCTCACTGGTGTGTGTGTGTGTGTGTGTGTGTGTGTCTACAGGTAACGCTAAGTTATGGGATGCTTGATGACAAAATGAACAGCATCAAGGTGAAAGGAAGCTTCTCTGAAGAGGAAGATCCCTCCAGGTTGGTCTCCTCCTCTGTTCCTTTGATATTTGTGCAAAACTTCTTCTCCATTCAGCAAAATACTTCCCAATTTTTCCCCACATTTTTTTATTCTGTTCAAAATAAACTTCAGAAAAACACCTTTTTCTCTGACATCTGTTAACTGTAATCGCCTCCACTACCTTCCTCCATATCCGTGAAAATGTAATGCAACACCGGCTGTGAAAAAAAACATGCAGCTCAGCTCAGTTGTGATGTTGCGGCTCTCTCTTCCCTTTTAATGTACTTTCTCCTGTTCTGTTTCACCTCATTTGTTGTTTACAGCCTTTGTGTCCCGATTCAAAAACACCTTAGTCCACTTTTGACCTATTGTGAAAGAAGAAAACGTGTTGTAGAAGTGAGTCATTTACTCCCAGCACAGAACGGATGCGGACGGGAATCTGTGCAGCTTCCGAACAGAATTCCATATACATCGACTGCAGATCGTGTGCATAACGTCCGTGCAACCTTGCTCACGAGTTCATGCGCTGACAACTATGGGTGTCTAGAGGTGCTGGTATGCAATAGTGAACATTAACCCTTCACCACTCAGATGCCCTTGGTTCATCACTACGATCTTTACAGGCATGTGACCCAGTACAACAACACGTGTCGTATTTAGAAATAAATGGGATGCACCTCATTGGGACATGACTAACTTCCTGTCTAGCTCATATAATTTTTCTACGTAATGACAATCTACACGCGGTGTCTGGAAAACATAAAAAAACATGCGGAAAGATTCTGCAACTCTGCATTTGATTTTCTTTTCTTTTTTCAGAAGCCGAACATATTTAGATACGCATCCATTCCGCACGCGGGGTTAAAGAGGCTTTACCTGTAAAATTATTGTTGAATCAACCCCCAGCTGCCGTAGTATTATGGAAAAACTAGTAGTTAATTACCCGTGATCCCTCCTCGGAGGGCTCCTTTTTACTTGCCTGTCTGTGAACTTGAGTTTACAGCTCAGTCTCTCACTAAATATCCAATGTTTTTGTTTTATTTATTGTCATTTTTGTTGGCCTGGAATGAAACGCCCACAAGTTTCTTGTCAATGGAAGAAAGTTAGACTCTAATTCCCTGCTCTGCCTCCCACAGGTTTAGGACTGTTCACTGCTTGCTGTATCCGCTTACCAGCTGGTGTCCTTGAGGACGTTGTGGAAGAACAAAACATCCAAACACTTAGGATGAAATTCTCCTCTGAGATGTGGTCAAAATGAAGAAAAACTGACGGATCTAACTTCCAAGTATCTCAGAGTCGAGGAAAATTGTGACTACGTGTCACTCTAAAATCTTTTATCACCTTTTTCTCTACGCCCTTAATGAACATTTGTTCATTTTTCAAATTTAACTCCAGCGTTTTTGGCCAACATACCTTTTGTCATCTCTGTTGTTTGTATTATTCTGACTTTTTTTTTTTTTTACAAAACATTTAGCGCTGATTAAAATAGTTTTTTTCTTCAGTTTGAAGCTGCAGCAACAGGACATGAATTACTGCAGGTGGCGATGAATTAATTGAACTTTTTATAGACTCAACAGGCACAGTCATCTGTGTGCTTGTTGTCATGAAGGAGATATCGTCCTTGCACCTTCAGTATGGACTCTGCACACAATAAACCGTTCTGACTTACATCTCCCTCAGCCCAAGACCCCCATCCCCCCCGCCCCATCCCCTTTTTTCTCACTTCCTCCCTTCTTCCCTCCACCCCTCCATCTGTCTCCTTTCCTACCACCTCCTCCTCCTGTCTCCCCGTGAACTAAGCCTCCACGGCCAAACGTGAAATACTCCTCTACTGATCCCCATGGTCTAAGTTGCATTTATTTATTTATTTGCTTTAAATTTAAAGTACAACCAGAAGAAAACACAAAGTATGACATGCATACTGCGAAACAAAGCAAAAATCTTGTATTTGCAGGATTGAGCTGGACAAGGCGGGTTCAGGAAAATCATTGTCAGAATGATGCATCAACTTAAACGTTTAGTGTGGGAGTGGAAGACAGAGGCCGTGTGAAGAGTACCTGCAGAGAGATGACACCGCACCGCCGGCTTCCCGAGGTTCCCTTGTTTGGTGTGAATGGAGATATGATGAATACAAATCCACTCTTACAAAGCGTCCGGGTTCTGACCTTCCCAGCAGACGATGGAAAGTAGTTTGGATGGTATAAGAATGACTGTGTGACTTCAACACACTATAGTGAGACTACTGAGCCCAATCTCACTGGAGTAGCTACAGAGATGACAGTTTGGTGAAAATGGAAAATCAATTTGTATTACAAAGGTTGCAGGATTAAAAAATAAATACATTCATGAGAATTTCTGGTTTATTAGATGGAAAATGTGATGATAAAGAGATCACAGAAGATGTATGACCAATCAGGAGATTAGGACATGTATGGTAATCAATCTAAATCACTTTATGGAGAAGGGAGAGTTTCCTAAAGACCAAGTTCACCCTTTTTTCAACACATTTGCAGTGGTGTCTAAATTATTTCCTTGCGATTCGATCTCTGTGAGAAAAAAAGCTCAGGCGCTTCTGTTTCAGGTTCTAGAAATGAGCCAAATGAGAGGTGAGCAGCAGACGGCAGGATCTGGAGTCTCTCTGGCCGTGTTCGAGTTGAGCAGCGCCTCGCCTGGAAAACAGACGAGAGCAGACGGACGCAGCAGGGGGAGTGGCTGAAAGCCGGCGTTTAAGTGGGACAGATTTCCCTACATGTGTAGCTCGCAGGTGACGATGAATGAAGATATCGCGTTAGCGTTCATACTTGTTTAATTATTTATTTTAATTCTGGTGCCTATTAGCAGCTGAAACACATCCTCACGTGCTTGTGGACATCATATATTGTACGTAAAGATATGACTGTAATAATAAGTAAAGGTTATCAGCTGTAGTTTTAGTGTGCTCATAGGGAACGTGAGAAAAGAACACAAATCACATTTCTCTTTATGGCCTATATAGCTGTCATCATCAGCGTAGCATGATTTACAGAATACATGTGACCGACTAACATCTCATGTTCTACCACTGGATGTTTGGATCAGAATGTGAACCAATCAGATCTTAGATCAGGTGAGAGCCAGGCGTTTCCCGTCATGCCCTAGGTTTTGCAGCTGGTGGAGAGCAACTGCAGCGCCTTGCTCCAAAATCTGCGGCCGCCTTGATCTCACGAGGATATCGTTGCCTACGTAGGCATGACGTCAGAGCAAGTCGGCGTCAAGTCGGACACAAATCTAACTGGCATGCACTGAGCGCCGATCACCGCTGGTCTAATCTGCGCAGAACTGGCTCATCTCGAACACGGCCGTTTCCTGATATTTGACCATCTTGACTGATTGGCTAAAAGCAACATGACTTTGAGAAGATGATTAATTAAGGCACACAAGCTGTCAGAACAAGCTAACTAATGTCAAAATAAAACTAGGATAAGAACAAAAATGGACATTATGGATTACAGGTGCTTACATGGCAAGCTTGTGTATTTATTTTAGTGTTATTATCATCTAATTCAGTGGTTCCCAACCTTTTTTCCATGAGGACCCCCTTGCCTGACCACCAAACCTCAATTCCTACCTGCATACATACATGTTTAATTCTAAACTTTATACAGACATACAGAGTTATAACTCTTAGACAGACTTGTGATTATATTATTGGATGTGTTATTGGTATATAAATGTAATATTTATTATCTTGATAACCTCACAACCTTAGCAGAGACCAAATTTTGGGGACCCCCTTGGGGGTTCACGAACCTTAGGTTGGGAACCGCTGATCTACTTCATCTTTAAATTTGCTGATTTGGAGAAAGGAAATAGTGATTGTTTTGGAATTGTAATAATTTTCCAGCTGTTGCTGGGGTGGTCCCTACGACTTTTAAGCATGCTGTTGTCCGACCCATGCTAAAGGGATGTGACTTGGATAAGTCGGTACTGGCCAACTCCAGGCCAATTTCTAGGTTGCCGTTCCTATCTAAAATTTTAGAGAAGGTTGTCAACACACAATTAATTAGCTTTTTGGGGAGTAACAATATGCTTGAGGCATTTCTGTCTGGTTTTAAAAACTTACATAGTACAGAGTCTGCATTGTTAAGGGTTTCAAATGATATCCTCAGAGCAACTGATGAAGGAGCATACGTCATCCTCATCCTGTTGGACTTGTCCGCAGCATTTGACACCATTGATCATGGTATTCTATTGAATAGATTTAAAGAGTCTGGTGTCTGTGGCACTGCTTTAAATTGGTTCTCATCCTACCTTTTGGATAGATCTATGTGTGTGAGCCTTGCAGGTTTTAGCTCTGCTTCCTCACCATTGACATGGGGGGTTCCCCACGGTTCAATTCTGGGGCCCATTCTGTTCTCAATTTATCTTTGTTCTTTGGGTACCATGTTGCGTACTTACCTGTGAGAAAGTGTCAGTCAGTATCTACTCTCTTGACCTGCCTCCAAGACATCAAAAATTGGATGGCGCAGAGCTTTTTAAGCTTTAATGATAAGAAGATGGAGGTAATGGTTTTTGGCCCCACTAATAGTTGTTCACCTAGTGATATTGATTTCGGACCGATGGCATCACATGTGAAAAACTGCATTTCAATTCTGGGTTTTAAGATGGACAGCGATTTTAAACTGGAACACCAAATTAGCTCTGTGGTGAAGTCTGGGTTTTTCCACCCAAGGCAGCTGGTGAAGGTGAGGCCTTTCCTGTCGAGGCAACACATTGAAACAGTGGTCCATGCTTTTAATACTTCTCGTCTGGATTACTGTAATTCGCTGTACTCTGGAGTGACCCAGTCTGCCCTCAAGTGTCTCCAAATGGTGCAGAACGCTGCTGCCAGAGTGCTGACCCGATCACGAAAGCGGGATCACACAACACCTATCTTGGCCTCCCTTCACTGGCTGCCAGTGACCTTCAGAGTGAAATTTAAGATTTAGATTTTTGGTTTTAAATCACTGAATGGTCTTGCCCCACCATATCTCTCTGAGCTTCTTTCCTTTTATAAACCGGCTCGGAACCTCAGGTCAGCGGACCAACTACTGTTAGAGGTCCCGAGGTCGAGGAAGAAGCTCAGGGGAGAACGAATGTTCTCAATTTGTGGACCTGCACTGTGGAATGCCCTACTACTGAGTGCACGTCAGGCAACTTCGCTGTCATCATTTAAATCCGTCCTGAAAACACTTTTATCGGCAAGCTTTTGACACGGTCTGAGACTCTGTCTTGTGTGGGTTATTTAATTATATTCTATTTATTGTAGGTTTTAATTGTGTTTTCATCTTTTCTGTCATAAGTATTTTAAATTGTTTTATGTAAATATTATAGTCTTTGTTGTCAGCTCTTTGTTCTGACTCCTCGTCATGTAAAATGCGCTTTATAAATAAAATTGATCTGATCTGATCTGTTCATTTGAATACTTAAAATGGACAAAGACAGGAAATATTTTCACACATAGCCTCACCAAGAATCCTTTTCACCAGCCACCTCTGCTGTGTGGTTAAGGTGCCAGTGAGCATTGAACTGTAATGATTAATAGTTATTAATCTAGCCTTTCTAACCTTTCACACACATTGCACGTCTACTTTTATATTTCTATGTGGGCCATTTTGGCTTGTCCAAGATGGTGAAAATCACGTTCCCATATCCTCCTCCCCAATGCTTGACAGTGCCACTAGTACAGTAGATTTATGACCTCTGCTGTCTATAAACAGGACTAACAGTGGTAACAGAGGACCGGGTCAATTGGAGGCAGTGTGTTAGAGTGTTACAGCTGTCATGCCTCCCATCTCCACTGTCCATCACCTGATGGGGCCTTTTAAAGGGACAGCAGGGAAGAAACGATGCATGGGAGACAAAAGTGATGAATAAATGAAAAAAATCAGACGGTTAGATTTAACCCAAAAGAACGAGCTTTTACCACCTAGTTTTAATTTCATTGTTTTCATTTTTTTTTTACATCTTAGTGTTTATGTACTGTTTGTTTTGTTCTATTTTATCTCCATTGTTGTAAAGTGTCCTTGGTTGTCATGAAGGGCAGTGTTAAATAAAATGCATTATTATTATTAAGAAAGACAACTGAAAAATAATGTAGGAATTTGGAAGATATTTCAAAATAAATGAAAACTGAAATCTGTGGGTATTTTAGAATAAAGAAAGACTTTGCAAATGTTTTCACATTTTTAATCCTTTTCTAGAGTCAGTATGTTCTAAGAGGATCCTTTAGGTTAACAAGATGTCATTGAGACCCTCACCGACACCTGTGGCCAGAATGCTGCACTTGCAACTTCAGAGTGGGAGGCTGTACCTGCTAGGTCCTGTAGTTCTTTTCCTTGTCAACACACAAGAGAATGAGACACTTTCATCCTTAACAGCGTGGGGCTTTATTGTACAACACAGTTTCATACAACACCAGTATTTGGGACAGCGTTCAGCCAGGATCTGAGAGAGCCTCCGGCTGAATCCTCCAGGAAAGCCTGTTTACACCGAGAATGCATTTCAGTTATACTTTCTACTGACGTCACTCCTGCGTAGGAAACGGGCCTCACGTACACATGAATAGGAAACTGTTTGGGGAGACTTTCCCGTGCAACAAGACAGAAACCGTCTGGCACTGGCGTCCGATAAACACTCCTGATAATGTTAGTCTTACTGGAAATCATGCAAGCTAGACTGAAAAACAGGATGCTGGACCTCACGTACAGCTTTGGCTCCTACAGATCCCCCCCATGGGGATGTCCACCCCCAAAAACAAGCTGGCTAAATAACATATAATACAAAATGAATGTTAACATAAACCATTAAATGAGTGTCAAACGACTAAATGACAAACACAATGCGACCTTTAACCAAACCATATAGATATATATGTAATGACTAAGTAACTTCAGGTCAACACTTGGATGAGTACATAGACATGAAGTAAGTATTAGCTGCAAGACACAACATGGAATGTGACGTCCTTAACCAACTCACCAGTACATTACAATGTACGCACACACTGTAAGAAGGCAAAAACCTGTCCGCTGCTCTTAACAGGAAAAATTCCTTCTTGACCTCCTGGCCCAAACAGGACGATCACATAAAGCACAGAGTGAGCATACAAGTCTAGCCTAAGTATACGGCAGACATTAGGCAACATTGAATCAAGAAAAGAACACACATAAGAGAAAATTAACCGATTAAACCTTTCAAAAGAGAACAAAAATCATGAGTACAATCGAGTATAATTACCCTTAGCAACATTCCAACCAGTAACTGTATGTGAATATGCGATTAAAAATACAAACTTATATGAAATAAATGATTGACGAGGATACGAACAAACGATTAAGTGATGCCAATATGGCTAGACCTATAAAAACATAACAGTAAGTGTAATGAACATACTTGATGTAACAACACAACTGCTCAACCAAAATAGAGAATGGAGTCAGAGTCCCAGTTGCAGAGCTGAAAAAAATGGAGTGAAGAAAAACACAAGAGTCAAGTTCAGTTTTATTGATGACTGCTGCAGGGGTCTTGTCGCTGGAAGAGGACTTTGAGGCCGATTCCTTAGTCGAGTACATTTAACCACATCAACAACATTCCTCACGAGACACAAAGATTACTCCACAGCCGTCCCATCAGCCGTCCTGTTCTCCAGACACACTGGGAATCGTGCTGAGTCCAATGCAGCCATTTCCATTTGCACGTATTGAGACAATGCAGCAAGGTTCATTTGGGCAGCCAGAGTTCGCTCCCACAGTCTCCTCACAACAGGTAGGATGCAACATGCCAATAGAGAAATCAGAATTACTACTACTATTGCACTAATTCCTGCCTTTACAAAAATAGCTCCCCACTGACCCAATTTGAGGGCTAAGAGGTCTAAGGACCAGCTTTCCCTGCCTGCATTCTCCTTCAGCTCTATCTTTAAAATTTTCAACTTCCTCATACCTTCAGTAAATGCACCATCAGGGGCCGTATTAATTGGAATATAAGTGCAACATTCTTGCCCATTTGAGTTTAGAAACGTACAGAGCCCACCCTTCTCGGCCAACAACCAGTCCAAAGCCTGGTCGTACTGCAAAGTCATTTTGACTGTGGCATGAAGTTGTTCACCCAGGAGGCTGAGGTTATTTACTGTGTAATTTAAGATTCTTTGCTGATTAAAATAAACATAGTTGATCCATTCCACATTCTTATTTAATGTTATCCAAGGAAGAATTGACTCTACACCAGCTATTACCTCATCTCTTGCTTGAAATTCTATGGGAATTCCTGTCGGCAGTCCTATGACGTTTAAATGCACTTTATGATCAAACGCATCATACCTCTTTGTCCTACGTCTATTGGTAGTCTCCAACTGAAGTAATTCACTCACACCTTCATGCAAGATAGTCACTGGAACTTTCATACGCACTAGTGTACACAACCCAACTCAAAAACTTGGCAAAACATTCATTAGAACATCACCACCACACATCCAGTAGCTGTCGGCCACTGGAATGTCTTGCTCACCTAGTAGATCAAGAGTAGGAATCGTCATTGATATGTCATCACAATCCTGACTAAGAGTTCCAGGGTTTTCATACCAAACAGGGGTGTCAATAAGAAGTGGTGTCATATTTGCATGTGGGAACCAGGATAATACCCAAGTGACTTTACAGTTGACAGATGTATTACCCACGTTCACTCCTCCATCGTCAGCGAAACCTCCACTTGCAAAAAATTTATAATCAGCACTATAACCAATTTTGTAGTCTGTTGGAGGACCATTTTGGTCTGTTAGGATTGCAAATTCGGCACATTCATCTAGGATGTTATATTCTGCATATTTTTTAACATGTTTATACTTATCTCGTGTACCATGGAGCAATCTGCATTGAAGTCCACACAATGGCAACGTAAGAAGAGGTGGAATCTTTTTATTGATCTCTAGTTCCTCTCTAGTCTTACATGTGCGTCGTTGTGCAATGGCACATTCATTAGAAGCATATTTTTCTGGAACAACCTCAGGTAACATTCCGGGTGCTTGAGCGCACACTATGCAGTCATTAGGAGTCATCTCTCTTGTCGTATACAAAGCCCATTTATACCAACTATTTTGCATGGCGGCATCCCAAAGCCTATCCTCTACAGGCAGTGGTCTGCTCACTCTAGGGGAGATAAGTCCTATGTTTCTTCCGACCCTAGGTCTAATTGGCCCAAATGGTGGCTTAGGTACAGTTTTGCGATTGGTTACTTCTTGTTCATTTTGTCCATCCCGAGCAAGATTACAAACATGGTTACTACCAGAGGTTTTTGTGGGAAAACCAGATTTTATGGCTACACCTCCCGTGGGAGTTGTAGTACTAACAGGTGGCTTAGTGGTTATGCTTCTCAACTTGCTAATTGGTGTTGTTTTAGGTCTTGAAACCAGCGGAGTCACCAGCTATAAGAGAGAGGAAGAGCTCCAGTCGAACCACCAATCTTTAACAGGGATTGTGGTAGTCAAATCATCAGGGATTACAGTAGTAGTAGCACTAGTAGTTAAAACATTATTTGGAACTGTGGTTACACCGTCAGGGATTTTATTTGTCTTAGTTATGGTCAAAACATTGCTTGGAATCGTGGTTGTTACACCAGTTTTAACAATTGCTAAGTCGAATGCAGGCAAGGATGCCGACCTATGTTGCATCCGGCCTGCAGGATTGTACTTAACTCGATCATGGTGCTGTGTGGAGGATCGTATGTCTCTCTCAGCTGTCCATTGAGGACATCGAAGATATGTGGATGTTTGGCCTGATGATCACTGGATTTCTTCTGATTGGAGTGGGAGGATATCTGGTTTTCTGGAAATTTGGGAAGACGGGAGCGATTGGAAGGCAACCCGCACCGACGGGAAGCACCGCCTGGGCGGAGACCTCACAGACTGGGGCGTTACTTGAGCTGAATCGTAAGCTGGACAATGTCCTGGTGTGTTACCGGTGTTAGTGCGCAAAATGGATGTCATCTCGGAGAGGGTCACCGGACGGTGTGGATATGTTAAAACCTAAAAATTGGCTTCACTGAAGGACTGGAATGACCAGTAACAGACTGAAGGCAGAGAGGAAAATTATCTCTGCCTGACCCAAACAAAGTCTTGTTATCCAAATCGGACGCCAAGGCAGCCTTCAAGATGCCAACAACAACAACCCCCACGAAGGAAGGAATGCAGACAGATGCTGTGAACACCCCCCCCCCCTCCCCCCCGCCAGTTAGCAGGGTTTGTTGTGGTACACCTCTTTATGACAACGTCAGGGTATGTCACTAGTGCCATATACTGCAGGCATCTTGCTTGGTTTAACACAAACTTTCCTCGGTTGATTAGTTCAGATATTTTATGATGTGTGTAGATGGTGACAGGATATCCCATTGTCATCACTGAGGCTTTCTCATAAGCATAATGCAAAGCAGCCAATCCTTGATAAAAAGGGGGCCATCCCTGTGCCACATTGTCAAGTTTTGCACTGTAGTACGCAATAGGTTGTTTCTGACATCCACTGCATGTGTCCTGCTTTAGCACTGCAGAGGCATACATGTCATGTCTGTTTGCGTACAGCAAAAATGGTTTTCTCTCTTGGCGCAGTTTGCATGTCTTGCTTGATTGTTTCAAAAGCTATCTTAGCTTAATTTGTCCATTTTTGAGTTGATTTTAAAGACTCACTTCCAGCATCTTTAATTAGTGTCCTGAGTGGTGCAGTTTTTTCAGCATAGCTTTCAATCCACTCGGAGTTGAATCCAGCCATTCCCAGAAACGTCATCATTTGTCCAACAGTTTGTGGTTGTGGAGCTTTGCTCACACCTTCCACGTGTTCTGGTGAGATGGCGACAGTCCCATGGGAGATTACTCTGCCTAGTTACTCTACTTGTGGTTGGCAGTACTTAAGCTTTGTGTCCTCTCCGAGCTAACTTCTGGAGGACTTTAATGGAGTCACGATGACAATCATCGATTGTTCGTGCACAGATCAGTAGGTCATTAACATACTGAATCAAAGTGCTGTTCACCTCAGTGCCTTTGAGGCTCTGTTTCAAGATTTGATTAAAGATGTGTGGACTGTGTTTTAGCCCTTGTGGTAGCCTTCTGTAAGTGAGCTGTCTCCCGCGAAATTTGAAAGCAAAACGATATTGTGATTCTTTGGCCAATGGGGTGCTAAAAATGCTGAACACAGATCAATTACTGTGAAGTATTTAGCTTCCCCAACAATGTTACTCAGTACTGTACATGGATTTGGCACATCTGCATCAAAGTCAGTGATCACGTCATTTACAGCTCTTAAATCATGTACCAGTCTGTACTTGAGCTTGTCTGCTTTTAGCACTGGCAAAACTGGAGTGTTACATGTGCTATAGGTTTCTTTTAGCACTCCTGCTTGAATTAGACCTTCAATAGTTGCATTTATACCTTCTTCTGCTTCTGGTTTTAGTGGATATTGGGGTCGATAAGGCAGTCTTGCATTTGGCTTCAATTCCACTTGAACTGGGGTTGCAGATGTTACCAGTCCAACATCCATGTCATGGTTGGACCATAGCTGGTCTGGAACCTGTTTTAGCATGTAAGCTTTCAACTCGTTTTGAACCGTTTCTGATTCTGATAAACCTTGCATGTGTTTTTTGTTTGCGACTGTTACAACCTGTGGTTTCTACATCATGGTGGTACCGCAGAGAATTTAAATCATTTCTGCATTTTTTGTAGTGTAGATTAGCGGGTTATCTGTTTACTGACACTCTGTTTTAGTTGCTGTTAACATCATTGGTCCAAGATCTTTTGACTCAAAGCCTTTGTTTACCATTAAGGTAATATGTGGTGCTGATTCTGGCACAGTGTGCCATTTTTCAATAAATGGGTTTTCTTCCAA